GGACAGCAGCTTGCAAAGACAATCCATAATCTGATTCTGCAGATATGGAGACAGGAAAGAATGCCAATGGAATGGAAGGAAAAAGGCATAATCCCCATCCATAAGAAAAGAAATAAAATGGAGTGTAAAAATTATAGCGGGATCTCCCTAATCCAGATGACATACCAGATCCTGTCATCTCTAGTTATGAGGAGATTGACTCCATACATGGAGGGAATCGTGGGTGAATATCAAACTAGTTTCCAAAAAAATAGAGCCACAACCAATCAAATCTTCACATTAAGACAAGTTCTTGAGAAGAACTGGGAATACAATGTCGATACACACCTATTATTCATTGATTTTCAAAAGGTGTATGTCAGCATTCACAGGCAATCAGTGTGGAAGGCCATGAAGGAGTTTGAGATACCAGACAAACTCTCCAGAATTGTGGAAATTTGCATGAATGAAGTGTGGTATACAGTAAAAACCAGGGCCACAAGGTCGGACAGCTTTCAGAGCAAAACAGGACTGAAACAGGGAGATGTCATGTCTCCTCTTCTCTTTAACATTGCTCTAGAAAAATTTGTCAGAATGGCTCAGGAGATAGGTAATAAAAGGGAAAATGACTCAAGAGACAAACTGTCACTACTAGAATATGTGGATGACATTGTCATAATTGGAGCATCTCAAGGGGAGGTGACGAGATTAATGTCAAAATTAGCAACAGCTACCAAGCATGAGTCTGATCATCAATGAAGAGAAGACTAAATACATGGATATTTCTAAAAAGGGAGAATCCCACAAAGAACATCTAACCGTAGACAATATGACATTCAGCACTTCGGAATCCTTCAAGTATTTAGGGACTGACATAAACAGAAACAATGACATCAAGAAAGAGGTAGGGACTTACTTGCTACAGGGAAACAAAATCTACTTTGGGCTCACAAACGTACTAAAAAGCAGACTTCTCAGTAAAAGGACGAAGCTAACTGTATACGAGTTGCTGATTAGACCTGTAATTCTGTATGGATGTGAAACATGGCCAATGACAAAGCAGGAGGAACTACAACTAAGAGATTTGAAAACAAAATACTAAGGAAAATCTTCAGACCTGTGGAAAGACTATGATGAAAATGGTATCATGATCAATCTCCATTGATCATGATACCATTTTCATATGGAAAAAAAGAACAAACCAGGAATTGAAGACAACCTATGGCAAGCCCATGATCACACAGGTGATTAAAGCCAGAAGATTACAGTGGCTAGACCATGTCGTAAGGCTTCCTATAATGGCAACAGCTTCACAAAGGCTTTCACTATGAGGGGAAAGGGAAGAGGCCAAGAGGCTGTCCCAGAAAAAGGTGGATAGATGGGATCACTGAAGATCTTCAAGACCTTGGAATCAAAGATTGGCAGAGGCAGGCTATAGACTAAACAAGATGGAGAAAGATTGTGACTGCGGCTAAGGGCGTCCAAGGCCCAAAATGCCAGACGAAGAAGAATATAAAATATATTGCCTATTAGCTTATGCATTGATTTTTATATTGGATTGTAAGATATGGACATTTGAAATATTTATATACGAGGTGGTATCAAAAAGTTCCAGGACTGGTCCCATAGCACAATAAGAGAGGGCAGCACAAGGATGTGTTAGCAGCTGTGGAGAGTACTGACCGTTGGGAATTAGTATGCCAAGGGACATTGTTCTGTAAACAATGGTTTTTGTGCTAGGTGGAGTTGAGTGACCACATGCACAGGTCCATTTGCAATTTCAGTACGGATGTCAAAATTGATCAGGAGAGCTAATATCAAATTCTATGTTAAGCTCAGAAAATCTGGAAAGGAGACTTAAATTATTTGGCAAGCTTATGGGGATGTTGCAATGAGTAGAATGAAGTGTTTCAAGTGGCATGCACATTTTAAGGGTGGAAGAACATTGCTGGAAGATGATGACAGGTCAGGTTGATCATCCACAAGCACAACCTCAAAAAATGTTGAAAAAATTTGGAAACTTGTGCATAAGGATTGTTGGAGAATTATTACAGACATTGCTGCTATGATCAATGTGTCATATGGGACAGTCTAGGTAATCCTGACAATGGAGTTAAACATGCACCATGTCTCTCCAAAGTTTGTGCCCAGGCTTCTTAACTGGAACAGAAGGTGCACTCTGTCAAAGTGTATGAGGATTTTCATCAGCAGGTCATGGATGACTCAAACTTCTTGTCGACGATCATCACTGGAGACAAGACATGGGTCTATAGTTATGACCTGGAGACTAAACAACAGTTTTTACAGTGAAAGAGCCCAACATCTCCACAACCAAAGAAGGAAAGGCAGGTCAAGAGTGCAACCAAGAGCATGATGATTGTTTTTAAATTTTAAATTATTGTTTTTCTTTTACATTTGCAGAGTTATGCACTATGAATTTGTCCCCAAAAACAAAACTGTCAACGCTGAGTTTTACTACAATGTTCTGAGGCAAAAAATTCTGAAGGAAAAGATTCAGCAAAAGAGATCTCAATTCTGGAGCCAACGCAACTGGGTCTTCCATCATAACAATGCATCTGCTCACAGTGCATTGCTAACATGCCAGTTTTTAGCCCACAACAACATCACAATCCTTCCTTATCCGCCTTACTCACCTGTTTTGGCTCCCTTTGATTTCTTCCAGTTCCCAAAGATGAAAATGCAACTGAAAGGTCACCATTTTGAAAACATGGAGGAGATCCAATGCGAATCACAGGAAGTGCTTGATAGTTGAAGAAAAAGAGACTTCCAAGGAGTTTTCCAAAAGTGGCAGACACACTGGGAGCTGTGTATCAATACTTCGTAGGAGTACTTCAAAGACAATGTTAGTCAAATATAAATAAAGTATGTATTTTCTTAGCACAACATTGCCGTTGAGAACATACCACACAGGAACACTTTCAGAGGAAAAAGGTTGTTTTATTGGTGTGAGCAGAACACCAATAAAACAACCTTTTTCCTCTGAAAGTGTTCCTGTGTGATATGTTCTCAACGGCAACATTGTGCTAAAAAAATACATATAATAGAGAACAACAAGCAACTAAGATTTTATAAATAAAGTAATTACTTTTTTATAATGGGATCGGTCCCGGAACTTTTTGATACTACCTCATATAAATCAGTCAATATTTAAAATCAGGAAAGATATTATTCTTCATTATAAATTTATCATCCAAACAAACAAATTATATAATATAATATATTCCAAAATATTCCTACATCTGAAAAAATATTGATCTATAACAGTCACGAGCAACCTGCAATATCGTAATAAGTGGCCCTCGGACTTTGGCAGTGTAATTCTATTTTCCCATTTTCTACTTCATGCCATTACATAGCCCTAATTAAGCTGATATTTATGACAAAGATCATTCAAACTAAACTGGACTAGTGAAAAGATGAAAATAAACATATTTATTATTAGTCTGCATATCATTAGCATTAACTAAAATCTTCTCACTTGAGTACTGGAAATATATAAATTAAAACTCCAAAACCTTTAAACGTCCAGTAGTAATCAATTTAATAATAAAGAAACGTTTTCGACCGTACTCTCGGTCTTCATCAGGCTTAAAATCCGTTAGATTCGAACCTGTGCAAGCGTAGAACAATGATTATGAACTTAATTTTCAAAATTAACTTCGAAAAATGGAACCGCACAAACTGATTTTAAAGAATACATTTATGCTTGCGCATTGCCATGGCGACGGAATGGCATACGTAATACATACAATTATATAAATATATATCAATATATATAAATAAATACACCAAACAGGGATGTTGTCTTTAATTGCTGGAGTGGGCGTCACCCGTTACCTCATAGCAGTATTTCCAAGCGTGGGATACATTGACCGCATCATTAGCATTAATGCAATTGGTGTGTAAAGACAACATCCCCATTTGGTGTATTTATTTATATATATTGATATATATTTATATAATTGTATGTATTAAGTATGCCATTCCGTCGCCATGGCAATGCACAAGCATAACTGTATTCTTTAAAATCAGTTTGTGTGGTTCCATTTTTCAAAGTTAATTTTCAAAATTAAGTTCATAATCATTGTTCTACGCTTGCACAGGTTCGAATCTAACGAATTTTAAGCCTGATGAAGACCGAGAGTACGGTCGAAAACGTTTGTTTATTAAATTGATTACTACTGGACGTTTAAAGGTTTTGGAGTTTTAATATCATTAGCATATATTATTTTAGTACCTCTTTGGTTTAGTTTTATTCCTGTATGACAATGCAACACTTGGGTGATCTGCCAAGGAGGTAATGTCTCCCAAAAGGTCTTTTATGGGAAATTGGCCCATTTAGGTGTTACTAACATGAAATCCAGAAAAACAGAAATCTCCATGTAGCCAGCCCATTGGCAAGGTGTGAACCCAGAAACCAACTACCTGTGTTCAGTACCTCAGTCACTGGTGGGCACTTTAGTACTTAGTGTGTGAGCAGTTACAAAGTGTGTTGATACTTCTTATGTATGTTTTTCACACATTTGTTTTCTTATGTAGACTTTAAGTATTCAACTACATAAGAAAAAAATGCATATAGCCAGCCCAATGGAACCCTACAAAGTTCACGTGGCCCACATCCAGAAAAGGTTGCTCATCACTGATCTAGAGTGTTTGCATGATGATGTGTAATTGAAAGTATCATATCGTAAATTGTTGACTGATAAGAAAGATGCAAAGTTTCTACTTTTTACAGTAATTATTATTCTTATATAAAAAGAAGTATAGTGGATGCCCAAAGACATAAAGAATTTCTAATCCAAATTATTTTTAAAATTTCATAACAAAGCTTCATTCTCTTTTTACACAATGAAGACAGAATTAATAATTTATAGAAATATACTCTATAAATTATTATTAATTTGAATTTATGATGTAAGTGAATTTATATGTGATTTCAATAAATTTTAATAAAGCCAGTCTATACTATAAAGGTATTTGGAATAAAAGGGACAGTTTAATAGAAACAGCAAAAACAAATCATAATAAAAATATTTTTGGTAAATTTACCAAAAATATTTTTATTATGATTTGTTTCCCAATTTACACATGAATTACATCTAATATCAGAAGAGTATTATTTTTATCATATAATACATATGTACAAATCAGATCGCAAGTGCTTAAAAACACTGCTGGAAATAATATATATATGAACAATACAATATTTTATCAAAATATATTTTCATTAAGTCCAAGAACTCTTCCTGAGATCTTCAATTTGTTCTCTGATATCGGAAAAGGACGGCCTTTTGTGGGAATCTGAATCCCAGCATTCTATCATCAGTCTGTATATTTCTACGGGACAAGATTCAGGACAGCACAGTCTGGTACCCTTCTGGAGGGCCTCGGCTAGTTTTGTGTCAGAAATTCCTGGTATAATGGGATTTTTTCCATAAGAAAACATCTCCCACAATGTTATTCCAAAACTCCAAACATCTGATTTATGAGAAAATTTTAGATGCAGAATACTTTCCAAGGCATACCTATCAAAATATGTGATTTATGCATAAAAAATATTCAATAATTTATAAACATGCCATTGTAAAATTTTTTAAGCTCACCATCTAATAGGCAAATCTCTTTCTGTCTTCATCTTGTAATAATCATTTTCTGTCAGCCTAGCTAAACCAAAATCACTGATCTTTACCCAGTCTTCTGATGCAACTAAAATGTTTCTGACTGCCAAATCTCTATGAACTATATGTTTCTCTTCCAAATATTTCATTCCCTTAAAATATTTGATAAATATTTTAAAAATTTACTTTTAAAATGGAAGAAAACAAAAACAAATAATATATATTCATTTTCTAATTACAGTAGAGCATCATTTATCCGAAAGAATTCCAGTCGGCAAATTAAAATTTTTGCTAGTGCTGTGGCACTTCAATCTTTGGCTATATCTTGAGCTATTTTTTTTTTGTTGGTGTGTGCTTTTTAGCTGGCAGCCCTGGCACCTTTGTGTGGTGTTTTTCTGAGGACTGTGTGTCATGCCGAATCGAACGTTTTTGATACTAGATGAACTTTTAAAGTATTATTTTCTTTTGTTTTTATATTTTTCAATATATTTATTTCATTTGTAAAAAATAAAGAAATAATTTTTACAATACAATAGCCATGATTATTATTTTAAAAAGTTTATGTTAGGCTTAACATCGACAAAAATTCAACGCGAAGCGACACACAACGGAGAAAAATTTCAACATGGGATAGGTTAATATATTTTTTCGTACATAATCGGTTATCTGAAAAATAAGTTATCCGAACAACCCCAGTCCCCAATTGATTCGGATAAACGACACTCTACTGTATATGTAATATCTTTTAATAAGAAAATAATTACCTCTGCAACATCTGCAGCAAATTTTAATAATTGAGCACGTTCAATTTTTTGCTTGTGCATTTGCAAATATGCTAGTAAGCTCCCCAGTTTCATATATTCCATAACTAACATGATTTCTGGTTCTTTAATTATTTGAAAAGAAGATCAATAGACATTTATTTAAAGATAAAAGAATATTATATATCAGAAAGATAAACTTGCCTTCTAAGAAAGCTTTAATTTCGACAATATTTGCATGTTGGAGTTTCCTCATTATGTCGATTTCTTGACACAGTCCACGGCAATTCTCTTCCGACAGTGCAGACTTTTTTATTCTCTTCACGGCAACCACTGCCGTGCATCCAGCACAGTATGTAAGTGTCGCTTTATAAACTTCTCCATAAAATCCCTAAATATAAACAATGATAGTTGGTGTGAGAGCCCGGACTAGATGGAAATTTTATTTAACAACAAAAATTTTTATTCATTTTATTAAAGAATAACACTTAAATTTTATATATTATATGAAAAAAAAAATTTATTTTNATATTATATTGTATTTGTAGTCATTTTTATGCATGAAATACAGCTAAAAAGATATATATGTTACCGCTAAAGCTCGAAAATCGTTAATCTGCAGATTAACTAGGATGATCTGTTAAAGTTGTGAAAACTGTTTCATTTCTCAAATTACCTAGATAATGTGCAGAGTATCTAAGTTATCCGAGTGCCTAGTAGGTAATCCGCACATTACCTACTAGGCACTCGGTAAAGTGAAAATAACATCTTTGTCACAAATAAATGTACCACAAATAGGTGTGCTTGTCGCAGAAACCAACTGCTATGAAAATCAAAGTGTCTCCAATCTTTAGACTGCACTAATAAGTAAGCACAATTGGATAATGTTACCTATGNAAAACAATAAAAAATTATACTTCAGAAGTTAATTTAGTATCAAAAACGTATAATATTTGAGTAGCCCAAGACATAGCCAAAGATTGCAGCACCACAGCACTGGTTAAATTTGCCAACTGGAATTCTTTCAGATATTGACGTTTCGAATAATTGACTTTCGGATAATCGATGCTCTACTGTATATCAGTGTAACTGTGTTTTTATAAATAAAATGTAATTTAAATAAATTTGTAAAGGTGAAAAGAAAAAATAAATAGAAAATACTTTTATGCTAAAAACAAAATTACAGTATTGATATGTAGACACAGAGTTAGGCAGGTAGACCAGCATGGTCATTTGGTTTTATTCCAGATACAGATGCCAAAATTCAGCCTTTTATGTAAAAAATATGGCATAAAAATGATTTAAATTAGTTCCTTTTGATAAGTGGTGAAAAATCTATTTTTATTTTATTGTTTCATTCAAATATTTTTTTTATGCTTTTTTGAGATAGAGATGACACCACATTTGTAATTAGTACAAGCCTCATCTCATCTCATTTGGTCTCTATTAATATGTATTTTTCAGAAGTATCTGCAGTACTGTCAATGCAAGAATATAGCATTACCCTCTAACATCACCTGATACTAAAAGAATGAGAATAGCAAGTGAAAACAAAGTACAAGGTGATTCAAAAGTCACAGAATTTAAAAAAGTTAATAACTCAAACTATTTACAGTAAGATGATGCAGTTTTCATAGAAATGCTTAGAAAGAAGTGGGATTTTTTTAGATGTAATAAAAATTTTAATACCAAAATAGTTACATTTCTTGCCATAGATGATGCTGTAGCATTTGTAAATTTGTTAAAATAAGAATAAAAAAAAAAATGTTCTTAGTGTAAGCTCTAGTAACAACTACACAAATTATGTAATCTTATCAAGTGCCATCTATAGCAAGAAATGTAACTATTTTGGTACTAAAATTTTATTTATTTGTTGAAACCGTGTCTTCTTCTTGTTTTGCTTGGTTCAATGTCACAACTTGGTAAATTTTTTGACACTTGGCAAATAATTTCATCATCAACTTTTAATCCATATAGATACGTGTTTCAGGCTTTTGCCATCTTCAGTCTGTTACATAGGTTGTATCTTGTGGACATCTGTCAGGCACCTTTCACACTACATCTTCCCACTCCTCTTCCCTTCCCTTCTGACTTGACGACCTCCCCCGCATGCCTTACAACGTGAAACATCTCACTCCCAGAGTGCCACACATAGCCCCACCTGCGACTGTATAAACATTCTATTTTAATAGTTGTGCCAACCTAGGTGGGGCTATGTGTGGCACTCTGGGAGTGAGATGTTTCATGTTGCAAGGCATGCAGGGGAGGCCGTCACATCAAAAGGGAAGGGAAGAGGAGTGGGAAGACGTAGTGTGGAAGGTGCCTGACAGATGTCCGCAAGATACAACCTATGTAACAGACTGAAGAGGGGCAAAAGCCCAAAACGCATATCTATATGGCTTAAAAGTTGATGAAATTATTGGCCAAGTATCAATAAATTCACCAAGTTGTGACATTGAACAAAGCAAAACTAAAATTTTTATTACACTTAAAAAATCCCACTTTTTTCAAAGCATTTCTGTGAAAACTGCATCATCTTACTGTAAACACTTTCTTTTTGTGAGTCATTAATTAATTTTTTAAAATTTCTGTGAATTTTGAATCACCCTGTACTTTCTCCTGTTTTTATGATAGACACTATTCTTATACTTTTATATTTATTTTAATTTTTCTTTTATAGTCATATATTTATATGATGTAAAAGAAACAAATGCTGAAGATAAAAATATTAAATTTTGTTAATTAATAAAATAATGTAATAATAAAAATTAGAGTATATGATTATGATTAGTGTAAACAAAAACTTCAGAGGATCTTAACTGAAATTTAGCAAGCTGTAATACATAAGGTGTTGAATGTCATGTGATACATATACAATTGAGAAGACAAAAGTAAACATGCATCTCAGCTTTAATGTGCTTAATGTGTTGTGAAAATGTGAAAGTTGTGGTTTGATGAATTTATGAACTCATGCTTATACAGTAGAGCATCGATTATCCGACTCAATTGGGGACTCAGGTTGGTCGGATAACTGAAAAAATCGGATAACCGAAAAAAATACATTATTAGTATAATATATTAGTATATTAGTATATCCCATGTAATTAGTATATTAGTATACTGCTATTAACTAACTTTGCATTGAATTTTCATTGATGTTAAGCCTAACAAATATTTTTTTAAAAATAATAATCGTCGCTATTGTATTGTTAAAAATTATTTTTAAATTATTTTATTGCTCACAAAACAAACAACCATTCATAATTAGAAAATTAAGTCTCATTTAAATACTGGCCTCCCTTCAATGGTCGAGCCAGTGTTGCCAGCTAAAACACGCAAAAATTTAACAAAAATAATATTAAAGTAGCCGGGACATAGGCAAATATTGTAGTGCCACATCACTAGCAGATATTTGAAATTTGCCGACTAGAACGATCGGTTAACCGATGTGACGGTTAATTGGGGGTCGGATAATCGATGCTCTACTGTATTATCAAAGCATTGAAATCAGAACAACAGTGTTCATTAAGGATACACAGAATTATATGGTCATATGTGAATGACTTTGATATTCACAAAGACTATTTCAGAAAATAATTTCCTCTTTCAAAAAATTTTGTGAAAGAAATTATCAGAGAGCTTTGACCATAAGAAAAGTACCAAAACTTCCCACTTCTAATTATGATAAAACCTTCATAGATTCAGAATATATTAAAAACTGTATAAAGTGTTACTTTTTGCAATCATCCATAATGCATGTTACGTGAATAAGAAAACTAAGGTAATGCCAGAGGTGCAAAATATTTTCAGGACTCAATTTCCTTAGAACATACACAAAATTCCCACATTATTATCACACACCAGTACACAAAATAAAACAATTTATAAACAAATGAAATTAATAATTGCTACTATGTAATTTGGAAAATTCAAATTAAATCATACAAATAATTAAATAGGCCTATTATAAAATTTTCTGCACAATACTAAACTGATAAATTAATGTAAACATTTTTTAAATTTAAAGATTTATTTAATATAAGCATGTGCCATCATCATAAGATAGCATATACAATTAAAAACTTGATGTTATACACTGATTATTAGAAATAAAATTTGATGTCCTCACCGACAGCACGAATGACCTATTTTTAGCATGGAGTGCTAATTAATGGATTTTTTGATGTCCAAAAATACAAAATTTTTTTACAATGACAACAGTCATACAATTTTTTCCTGAAAAATTATTTAAGAAATGCACCAACTTTTTGCAAAAAGATAAACTTTTTTTAGAGTTTCTGACTGATCTTTTATTATTTTGTTGTTGTTATTGTTTAGTAATTAAACTTGTTTCTTACACAATGTAAATTTAGAATGTTAAAATTTTAAGTTAATATGGGATAAATCTTAACAGAAAATTCAATTTAAAATAAATAAGTGATAAATAAGTTAATACGTAAACTAAAAGTGCATCTCTGTTCTGTTCAACATGTATTACCATACAAAAATGGAAACTATTTATCCATAGTGCAATGTGAATTGTTTATGTTCTACTCCAGACTGCAAATTGAACCTGGCATTGATAATAGCATAATAAAATATATAAAATGACACAACATAACAAATGAAGTGTGTATACAGTAGATCCCCCTATAACACGGGTTCATATAATTCGGATTCGTATATCGCGGTGAAAAAATTGCGACTGTATTCGTATAAAGACGCTAAAAGACTCATAAAATGCGGTAAAACGTCATCGCCACTCGTGTCGCGACAGGATTGGCCAAATCTGGATCAATAGCGGATGAGCAGCCGAAATACTTACACGCTATGGAGAGTTTAGGTGGGTAAGTTGAGTTTACTATCATCTGTACAGTATATAAATTAGGTACTGTAAGTCTAATACAGTACTGTAATTTTATACATTTATTGTGAAAAAAACATTTCTTATTCAACGGCCATAAAAATTATTTCTATTAATGATGTCTCCAAACTTCAACAAATTTTTCGCAGAAAAATAACTTATCAGAAAATGCGCCCGCCGTTTGGTGCGCTGCTCCACGACAAAAACAAGCTTAAGCAATGGCATCGTCGAATGGTGCACACTCGGTAAGTAATCCTACAATTTTTTGTTTATAGCATAGTTTATACAAATTATTCCCAAAAAATTATATGTGTTTTGGAAATGTTGAGTCAAATTAGTCTAGAATCGATTAATTTTATGGAAGAAAACCTTTCAAACAGCCGTAGTCTGTAAACTGCACACGTGTCGGGCTGTGATTGGCTCATGTATTTAAGGATTCCTACAATGCGAAATTTGTATAAAGTGGAACGTATCTACCGCATTATAGGGGGGTCGACTGTATATGCTAATAATTATTTTATTGATTAGGGTATTTGAAATAGTCTTTTATACCTAGTCCTTAATTTACACAATAGCTTGGTTCTATGAAAATTTATGTAAATTGAAATAATATAAATCAAGATTCATTTATTTGGAAAACAGATGGATAGGTTCCTAGGTTCCATATTTCTCATATAAATGTTAGATTCAATTTATGCAATTTCAATTTATAAACCAAATTTCTGTACAAGCAATCCATCACATGAATCGAGGATTAGATATATATAATAATTGAAAAGTTTAATTATGAAACAACTGATATTACTAAAACAAATCGATAGTATCAAGTACTGAATAGTATTTGATACTCTCTTGATAATAACTGAATAACGAGTCAAGAATTATTTCGACCTATGAATAAGTAAAGAGCACCAACTTTCATTCAATATAAGTGAGATAGAAGATAACAAATTAAAGCATAAATTATATAAAATTAAAAAAATTAGATTTAATAATATTAATAGTAGTAGTAACAATTAACTGCTAAGAATAAAATTTATGTTAAAACAAAACTCTAATACTGTAATGATACTGTAAAATAATGCAAAGGTATCCATCAATCTATAGATATTGTCGACTCTAAACAACTTATAATAATATTTTGATAAAAATTACAATATAAATTTGCAGGTTTATAAAACACACCAATAAAATGATACATCAAGTGCAATATCTTGAAATCTTGATCAAAGACATCTTATATTAATATACAATATCAGCAAGATTTTCAAATTAAGTGTAGACTATTAATTTTATATTGGTATGTAAACCACATTATTATGGTTAATAATATAAAATATAAACCACATATGGTTAATGCATAAAAAGCATTATCCATAATAATATAATATAAATAAATTATATTGATTTTAATTAAATGAACTATTTTTCACATTAATAATTTGATTCATTGTGGTAAGGACTGATAAATTCATAATTAATTGGCTTATTCAGAATCCTAATAATGCATTAAATTTATTGTCTTTTAAACAGAAATTTATCAACTGCCTGATCTAATGAGATCTAATATTAAATATGTATTTCACAATTTAAAAATATTCATGTTAAAATTTAGCATTTATGATAGCAAATAAATCAAATCAAATTTCCTTGTGATAACGACTAACATTTTAAAATATAATATTCTATTATCTACTTTATGTAAACACAAAGAATTTCATATTGAATTTCCAAGTTTATTGGCTCTTATAGAATATAAAAAAAGTTGAGATTTTTACCTTCATATAAGATCTGGTTAATATCACGCATGATAGCTTGGGCCTTCTTTCGATTATCCAGATCAAGTGTCCAACATTCGTTCATTAATTTTCCAATATCACTATGAATATCTGTCGGATAAGGTGGATGATGGCCTTGCAAATACAATTCTTTTATCTGCAATGATAATTTGAAACTTAGTTAAAATATAACTAAAATTTTATTCAAATACATTTATATTAATGACTATTAATATGATTCTTACTTCATTAGTTTTTTTGTCTTTAAAAGGAATCTCACCAAAAGAAAATATTTCCCACAAAGTAGTTCCAAATGCCCAGACATCAGCTGCTAATGACTTTGCAGCTTGACTAAAGTCACTGTAGCATTCAGGAGGAATCCAGTGCATGCTATAAAAATTACTCTTAAGTAATACTGATATTTCTATAGTTCTGACCATAAAGAAAATATAAATATAACAATTTTAACTTAGAGTTAATTAATTAATTGTCAAAATATCAACAGAATTCACTAGATTAAATTTGATTAAACTAAAGCAATCATTTAAATAATTGGATTATTAGACTGTTTATTTAATTAATCAAATTGCAAGTTATTTATCAGTTAAATGATTAGAGGATTTGAACTACAGGTAAATATGTTGCCTTCTAAAAACTTTAATATCAGGTTAGTTTATTAGTCCATGCATATTTTTCAGAAATTTTGGGGAAAGAAAGAGAGAGAATCATTTAATTAGTCACATATTAAAGTTCATTTAGAATTATTTTAATGTAAACAATGAACTATAAACCGAAAATCCAGTGTATATTAATAATTATAAAACCCACATTTGAATTAGGGGAAAAAAAAAACATTTAGAAGGTTTACAGGATTTCAACAATATTAAATGTATCAAAAATGCAAGCGATATAACATATTTAAAATCCACAGGATTTGTAAATACAGTAAATATAATGTATAGGAAATTTATTGGCATATTTTACATATTTTTGCAATTTATTATTCACAAATATCCATATTTTAAATTTTTATTTTATTTTATTTTAACATTCTTGTTTTAAATTCATCCAAATATGCCATAAATTTTTAAAAACATCTATTTCTTATGTGTTTTATTTTTAGTCCATCTTAAATTTATGCTGATTCGAAATAAATAACTTCCACAAGCAAGTAATTTTGTTTATAAATTAAAAATCAATTCTTTAAATACAAGAATCTTTCATATTCAAATGTATAACATCAAAGTTAAATAGGAAACTATTCTTGAAACGTAAAACATGAAATTCAATACATATTTTCTTGGTTATATAAAATAATAAAAGGTAAAATATTTCTGGTATAAAAATTTCATAAATTCTTAGATGAATTACATAAAAATCAATAAATGTTCTAAATATCGATTCATCAAAGCTATTTCCTATTTCAATAGAACACATATTTTTGAACTGATTGAAACTCAATTCACTAATCTAAACTATTTCGAATATTTACAGTATATCAAACCAAATATATTCTTTTATACAAAGAAAACTTTTAAGTTTATGAAAAGCTAACTACATTATAAAATTTAGAAGTATGTGAGATGTTAATGTTGTCAATCAATTTAATGTATAATTTTAATTATAAAAAATTTTAAAAATCTGGTAGAATAGTTTTTATATATTTTATAAAAACATTACTTTTCATGAAACTTTGTAAATCTTACATTAATATAACAAGATAAAAATAAATAATGTTATCAACAGCATTTAAATTTATATATGTATTGCAATTTATTGCATCGAGTATCCAATATTCATGCATTAATTTGTTTAAAAATAGTATCAAAATCAAATTCAGCAAATAAATTATATTATTAAATTGCTATTAACAATAAATATAAATAAATAAATCAGTATATTCAGCTAAATCTAATTAATAATTTATTAATACTAACAATTGTTTGTCCACAAATGACAACTTTAATAAATGTTAAAAACCTAATTTGACAATAAAATCATCCACATCTCTAACACTATGCATGAAACTGAAAGTGCAAATGATTCATAGATTCTTGTCAATTTTTTAACACTGAAAAATGAGATGAGAAGTTTTTATACATCCCATTCATAGCACTTGTTTCATATATAATTAGATTTAATTAATTAATAATTAAATTAGATTTCAATGTGCATGTGGGAAAGATAATATTTCTGCTTTTTGGTATGCACCACAACTGAATTTAAATCAAATTAATTAATAAAACCCGCATTAATTAACATTCACATAATTTAAATGGCATCCAAGAATTCGTGTTTAAATATGATTAAGCTATATTAAATAACAAAAATTTATTAATATAATATTATATATTATAATATTAATCTTTAATATTTATTAATATATTATATTATATTGAATTTGTAGTCATTTTTATGCATGAAATACAGCTAAAAAGATATATATGTTACCGCTAAAGCTCGAAAATCGTTAATCTGCAGATTAACTAGGATGATCTGTTAAAGTTGTGAAAACTGTTTCATTTCTCAAATTACCTAGATAATGTGCAGAGTATCTAAGTTATCCGAGTGCCTAGTAGGTAATCCGCACATTACCTACTAGGCACTCGGTAAAGTGAAAATAACATCTTTGTCACAAATAAATGTACCACAAATAGGTGTGCTTGTCGCAGAAACCAACTGCTATGAAAATCAAAGTGTCTCCAATCTTTAGACTGCACTAATAAGTAAGCACAATTGGATAATGTTACCTATGGTGAGTAAAATGGCAGCTCGTCTCTGATTCCAGCAAAGAGAAAAAAGGAAACAGTGGGGACGAATGTTCAAACCTAACCTAACCTAACCTAACCTAACCTATTCGAATAATTTGGTTGGTAATAATTATGGTAATTTATTAGAATAGGTTAGGTTAGAACGTGCGTCCCCACTGTTTCCTTTCTTCTGTTTGCTGGAATCAGAGACGAGCCGCCATTTTACTCACCATAGGTAACATTAACTGCACAATTATATCATGCGATCACCAGAAAAAGTATGATAACTTTATTATTTTTCGTCTCCGGTCCAAAAGTAGGGTATCGTTGAAGTCGTCTCGGTCCCCTCAGTTCAGATAGATACTCAAAGTCCCGAAATTCCATAGGTGGTTATCTATATAATAATTTCCCTAATTGTATTAATATTTTAAATCGTTTGATTTTTTGTATGTTTTTTAATTGGTTGATGATTGATTCTATCAACTAATTTGTCGATTGTTTGATTGTATTAACTTGATTCTTTAGATATCGAAAATTAAATAAAGAACATTATGTTAATTTAAGCATACAGAAACGTTGCTGTTGTTTCAGCAAAGATCTTATTTTCACTTTACTGAGTGTCTAGTAGGTAATTTGCAGATTACCTAGATAATCTGCACATTACCTAGGTAATTTGAGAAATAGAAAAATTTTAGCAACTTTAACGGATCATCCTAGTTAATCTGCAGATTAGCTAGGTAATGTACACATTAACGACTTTCGAGCTTTAGCAGTAACATATATATAAAAAAACGACTTTATTTTGAGGTCAGGAATTAATCCATTTTATATTATTTCTTATGAAAAAATTTGTTTTGATTTTAGAACAAATCAGTTTTCTAACAACTTTTAGGAATGAATTACATTCAAAAACTGAGGTTTGACTGTATTTCTATTCTATCCTTTCTACAGTATAACATATATTTGCTATAACTCATGACATTATTTCAGAATTATTATTAAAAAATTTACTGTTATTAAAGCTAATTCATAATTATAATTATTTTAAACTTACTCTTCATCATTATATACTACAATTCCTGGATCAGCCAATTTAACTTTAAACGAGTTATCACTGTGCTGTGAAACTAATATATTATGACACCGAATTTTCCCATGACAACACTGTTGTTCTTCCTAAAATTAAAAAAGTGAAATCAAATTTATATATTTTATTTCAGCACATGAACAGTGTAATATTTATTTAATTGAAAATATAACTGCATATTAAACTAAAAGTTAATGAAAACAATTTATTTGTAATGTATTAGTTTAAAAAATTTTAATTAGTATAACTTACCAAATACCACAATGCTCTTGCAATATAATTTGCTGCTTCCACTAAGTCCACTTGTTTCAATGCCTGATTATTTTCTCTCAAATATAAATCTAGCCTACCTAATGGTAAGTATTCCATTACAAAGCAGAGTGGAGAGAGTACCATACCAATAGTTGAAACAATAGAATCACATTGCCAGAACAATACTTTATCGCACTGATTTAAAAATTCCTGAAATGTAAATAATAATTAATACAAAAAATGATTTAATATATTCATACTTAGTGTGTAATATTTATTCTTCTGGTACATCTAGTTACAGATTTAAAAATTTTTTTAATCATGTCTGCTGTTAGAAAAAAATTTATTTCTTATTCTTCTCATTTCTTTATATTTTATGGCATTAATATTGTCTATTACCAACATAAAACATTTTCCATGATAACAATTATTTATTTATGGACCAATAATATTTTATGTTATCATTATGTTAAATCCTTGAAAGAAAATTTAAATTTAAAACAAAAGCATCTTCCAGAATAATCTAATAATAAGGTTGGATTAACCATTTGGCTATATCTCAGCTAATTAATTTCATATATATATTGCCTAATTTTGACTAAAGTGCTAGTTATGCTACAAACTTGTCTTACAACCTTTAGTCCAAATTACACAATATATATGGAATTAATTAGCCAAGGTCTAATTTGATAATTATTTTAGCCCATATCATTTGATCATTAGAATAATTTAAACTTGGTTGTCTATATGTATTTATCTTCCACAATTTTTCACATCATACACCATCAATGTTTCTAGACTAGTGTGAAATTCTGACTATCGTATGAGAATTTTTATATTTCTTTCATCATTATTTCCGTTATTTCTCCCGTTCTCACCCTAATGTCCGAGGAATGGACCCCGAATAATGAACTGCGTAATTCGTCTGTCAAGAAGGTCATCCCTAGGACGAAGTTGTCCGAGGCGACCGCGGAAGAACTCCCCTCTCCCCGGGGCGGACACCTTGTTTGTTTTTAACTAATTGGTCACACCGCAGACACCTTGTAAAAGAGTAGTCTCCTGCGGGTGTCCGGTTGACGGAGACGGACGGGTGTTCCTGTATTGAGGGTAGACAAGAGGTCACCTACAAGGGTCACCCGTACGGTGAGAACATTACCAAAAATGGTCAGTCATCTCCCCAGGTGATGACGAATTTAACATTAATTGGTCAAGCGATGTCTGCATTGTCGTCACCCATGACGGGGGAGACTCATAAATCGGGAGAAGTGACAGTTTGCATCAGAAGAGTCCCCGAGATTTCCCACGCTAAAAAAGTATAAAAGGGGAATGATCGGAGATCTCGAGGCGATCATCGGAGGAAGAAGACTACAAGCGTCTAGTCTGGAAGAACTTCAAGGTCTCTGATCGCCGACCTAAAGAGGTAAATACTTAGATTGTTTTTACTTCACTCTCTCTCGGTATACTCGGGACTTAGAAATTAATGTCTCTCGGTATACTCGGGACTTTGAATTTATTTATCTGTTCCTTTGGATAAGACTTAGTCATATTTTGTGTTGAGGACCTTCGACGGTCCCACTTACGGGATAGACGGACATCGGTTGTCCGATATTGTCGCGACTCGGAATTTATTATAATGGTTGCCTACATTTTGCTTAGAATTAATGTATAATTTTAATGTATTTGTATTAGTGTTAAGTTTATATTAAATATGTTATTCCTAATTTAATGACTCTTGTTAAGTACTACCGACATCTCATCACGACTTCATTACGCCTCCCACTCCTTTTGCCCTCCTATAGCCACTCTCTGACAGTGTGCCGGTAAGTGGGAGAAACTCTGGTTCTATCCCCTCGGTTCACACATATTGGTGTCATCCGACAAACAAGCCATCCGACAACTGAGAGCGGGTCTGTTAGGCCTGTGCAGATTAAGCGGTCATTAGGGTTCAACCCAGTGGCCCCCTGCTACTCACACTAGCAGAGCTAAAATATGTTGTTTATATTGAATAATTTCACAATTCTTCATGTATTTTCAACTAAATTCATTGCACTTATATTTAAATCAATAATTCTACAAAAACTAAAAACTTGGAAAGGACTCTTGCTCGATTTTCCCAGCACTAGAACAGGATGTTTAGGAAACTGTTAGGAAGTACAATTATCAATTAATTTAGGATATGAAATTAAGTAATAACAATAACTTAAATCATGATAAAAATCTTCATTTAAAAACATTTAAGCTTAATAAACACTTTGACATTAGCTCAAAGTTAAAATTGTATGGTATCATGAATACTTGAGTTCTGTACTCCAAAATTTAATAGCATCAATACAATTTATCATATGTTTCTTAATATTTACCCAATCCTCTTAAAATCAATTAATATTCTATTGTGATATCTCTATCTTTGCTGTTTTTTTAATCTAATGACAAGGAATTTTATTTTAAATGCTACTTATTTTATTCTTATAATTATTTGCTTTTGATGTTGAAAATACAGCAGAGTCCTGTATAATGTGAGAGATGTGTTCTGCATTATAAAAAATCGCATTATTAAGACATGCATTATCAAATAATTTTATGCAAGTTTAAACCTAGACCTAAAGTGAAGAAGAAAGCATATACCTCTGGACAATTTTGTATGAATACTGGTCACAATTTTTTACTGCATTATACAAATTTGTGTTATATGGGAGTTCACTGTATACATTATTTATTGTGTGTCTTCCAAAATTTTTAAAATAATATAAAATTTGAAAGAATTAACAACAATCACATCTTAATGATAATAATCTTTCAAATTTACTACAAGTAATAATAATGTAAAGTATTGCAGGCAAAATAAATTACTTATTTTTAATAAAGATACTAAAAATAATTTTTATTTGAATAACTAATAAAAATATGATTTGAAAAATATTTATTTTCATTTATATTTGAAAATTTAAATTTTCTTTAAATTATAAAGCTTGATATTAAAGTTAGCATAAGTAATATTAGCATTAGAGATAGGTAAGCCACACAACTGTCTATCACCGTTATGGAAATAAATTTAATTCAAAAGTACTTTCAACAGTATATAACTGTCCTCTTCAGGCAATATTGTTCATAGCAAATAGAACATTTGAATTCAAGAAGTAGAACAGTACTTGTATTACTAGCATACCTGAGAACGTGAGACTTAAATCTTTTTCCATAACACTGATACGGTTGTGTGGCTTACCTATCTCTAATACTATTTGACAAGTAAAGTTATTTATATTCTATTTATATTAGCATAGTATTTATTTCTGTAACTGTTTTTAATGATTTTTTCAAATAATCTGCATAGTGCTAACTTTTACTTGACAATAATTTATTAGGTCAAGTAACTAATAAATAGGCAATAATTAATAATAGGTGTGAATGAGTATTCTAAACTTACCATTGTGTATACTAGATTTAATTGATGTTTTAACTGCTTTACAGCAACTTCTTTAAAATTATCTGTTCCACGTCTTAAATAACAATGTTTAACAATAGTCTGATGACCATGCAATTCATCGCTTACTTTTTTACTAAATATTATACTGTCGTAAGGAATACACTGGGCGGCACAATTACATTCTCCACGACTTTTCAGAGCCTGAATATCTCTATTTATGGGTCTACATAATAATAAGCAAGTCTTCTCTAAAATTTCATGCAAAGAAAATATTATTAATCATATAATAATAAGTAAATATATCAAGTAGATAATAGAAAACAGAAAATTTACTACCATATTCTGATGGTGGTATACACTTTTTAAGAAGTGGATTGTTGTTTCCTTTGGAGTAGTGACTTATAAGTTGAGGAAGTGAAGGAAAGGTTTCTTCTTTGTTCTTTATAAAATACTCATCATCATCATTTCGTAAAATGTAATATGTTTGAATAAAGCCATCGGTTTCGCTAACGTCTAATCTATATTCGTCATATACCGTAGTACTTTCTCGTAATATATAACATCCCACTTCATTTTTACATTTCTCTCTTAATTTCTGGTAAGAAAATTCTTGCCTGAAAATATTAATTGTTTGTAATTTTTTTTAAACACATTTAGCATCACAAAATTTAAGTTTTTTAAAATAAATTGACACTATTCATAAAAATTAGTTAAAATAACCATTTTGTATGGAAATTTATGGCACCAAATATAAAAACCGAAAATAGTTTTCATTATAAAATTATAATGAAATGCAGTAATCAGGCAATACAACTTAAATAATCTTAAAAAATAATAGTACAGTAGAGCGTCATTTATCCAAAAGCCAGTTATCTGAAACGTCGGTTAACCAAAAGCATTTCAGTCGGCAAATTTAAATTTTCGCTAGTGCTGTGGCACTGAAATCTTTGGCTATATCTTGGGCTACTCCAATATTTTTTTTGTTGGTGTGTGCTTTTTAGCGGGCAGCACTGGCACTTTTGTGTGGTGTTTTTCTGAGGACAGTGTGTCGTGCTGAATCGAACATTTTTGATAATAGATCAACTTCTAAAGTATATATTTTTTGGTTTTTATATTTTTCAATATATTTATTTCATTTGTAAAAAATAAAGAAATAATTTTTAACGATACAATAGCCACGATTATTATTTTAAAAAGTNACTGTATATCGTTCATAACATGCTTGGAAATCTGTAAAAGAAATGATATGGTTTTTAAGCATTTACATATGGATATGAAAAAAAAAATTAATTTTTTCCCCAACACTTAATAAAAATTGAAGGATGTATTATATCTTTCTGCAAATTCACTTCCATTTACTTCCTTTGACACATCTTCTGAATGTGTCACCAGGAACTTCATGATCGAAATTCATCTATTGGTAGGTGTATTAAATACTTGGCTTCAATGTCACGCCAACAGTTAACTCAATCAAAAACTTCAGACTATGAGGCTTTAAATAAAATTAAAAGAAATATTTTAATCTTGCAAGCGCTTTTAACGTAAATATATATGTCGTCTTCAGGCAATTCAATATCAAATAGAGAATTCAAACAGAACATTTAAATTTAAGCATTAACGATATTAGCCATTTTTGGAATATAACTATTAAAAATAATATTTAAATTTTAGAATTAAAGACATTTAAAATTGGCACGCATGCATTTTAAAACAAATAAACCCCGATTGGAATGGCTATTAATTAGGATCATTGAAATTAAGAAGACTTTGTAAATGCAAAAAATTGGTGCGCGTACACCTTAACATGCATAACATAAGAGCCAATTAGAATGGCTGTTAAGTACAAGTAAATTTTAGACTTTAAATTTAAAACATTTTGTAAACATGTATAAAATTTTTGGCACGCATGCGCCTTAACAAAGACAGCATAGAAGCCGATCGGAATAGAGCCATAAGTGCAAGTTTACATTAAAATTTAAATATAAAAGCATGGGACATAATTTAAAATACATAAAACATGTGTAACATATAAAAAGACGCACATATAGAGTCCGACACGTATGCGCCTTGAATCACATAGGAGGTGCGTGAAACGAATGTAGAATTATTGTTGATTTTTTAAATGCCTGTATAAATTAATCCAGACGTCCGGTAAGTCGAGGGTAGGGGAGTTGCACAGGAAGAGCAGAAATTGTCAGTCCTGATGTGGCATCTCAATGTGGTGCCGACCCTGTGGTCACAACTAGCAAACTTAACTAGGTAAAAGGTTTATTGAAAATGATCTTACCTGACCAAGCTTTTCCCCAAAATTTAATTGACTTTTGTCAATGATCCAATGCGACTTAGGATTTGTTTCAAGAACTGAAGTATTGACATCTCGAAATACACTGAAAATTATATCTTTTATTGTAAATATCTTTATTATTTAAATACATGTTTATTTTATTTTAAAATTACCTTTCATCTATACTAATTAAACTATCAACAGGTACTTCATTTATTGTAGTTTCAGATATAATGGTAGAGGTACTCTGAGAACTAGTCATGCTACCGCTCGAAAGACGGTCGTAACTGAAATTTGTAATATTCGAAGAGACAAGACGAAATGGATTTTTTAAAAAATTGTTTCGATGATTCATGACTACAGTTTCGTTTCTATGAAGAAAAGTAGCTGGTGGAGGAGTAGGCGGAATGGGAGAAGATTGGCCATTTGACAAATTCTGGCTGGAATTAATTGTTGCATATGAATGGCTTCTTCTAGAATTATATACTGTAAAGATTATATAAAAAAATTAAATGAAAGTTATTTTGTACATAAAAATTGAATTATTGTATTTGTAGTATTTAAAACATATAAATATACATATTAAAAGAGATCAATACAGATAAATTTTGAATCTACTGTGAATATCTGGTAAAAATGATTAGCCAAAATTACATTTTGTCAATAATCGTTATCCAAATATTTCCATTATTCAAAATTTTGTTACTAATTTTTAGAATTTAATCATAATATAAAAACTTAAAACATTAACAATAAAAAAATTGTCTCAAATTAGCTTAGTTTAATCAATAATTACTATTAAAACTAAACCAAATTTGGAAAAGTTAATAGTCAGCAACAGTAGAAATTTTTTAAATGGTGAAGATAACCAACATTTATTAATTTTCAATCTTTCAAAAACAAACAACAATTTAACAATTGGGCAAATAGCTCATTTGTTAGTTTAAAATCAACACCTAATTATCCCAAAGTTTGCAATTCTATAACAACAATGATGAAAGAAAAATATATCTATATATATAAAAACGAATGTATGTCTGTCTGTCTGTTCGTCCTTCATGCATTACCACACTGTTTATCCAATTGCCACGAAACTTTGGGAAGTTGTTTAATACACTCCCGCGAAGGTTTCTGGCATAGTACGACTGCCATGAAGCTTTGGGAAGTTTTTTAATACACTCCCGCGAAGGTTTCTGGCATAGTACATTTATCCTACAATAGATGGCATGCATTTATAGTGTTTGTTCGATCGATTTCAAATTGTGAAGACNAAAATTCAACGCAAAGCGACACGCAACAGAGAAAAATTTCAACACGGGATAGGTTAATATATTTTTTCATAATCGATTATCTGAAAAATAAGTTATCCGAACAACCCCAGTCCCCAATTGATTCGAATAAACAACACTCTACTGTAATAAAATGTTTTTTATGACTTATTTGAACATATAATAGCGATAATAGAGATGGGGTTACACTTTTTGAAAAGTTTGGAGTTTACACTATATCGTTACAAAATCCACTAGCTGGGTTGAATTTATTATATGTAGATGCCACTGCCAGAATGCTCCATATCTGTCTAGCAGAGAGAGCATCATGAAGATATTATACATAGATGTTCAACAGATCTAGCCAAAAAAATGATAGAATATAACTTTCATCCTCTTTGATCACAAGTTTCACTGGTAAAATGATGTGGAAATAGGAAAATCTTGTTCATATGGGAGTCTTTGTTTATTACATCAATGTTTCCATGCAACTCTCCCATACTTGATATTCCAGAGCTATGGGTTGCACTGTTCAACTTGATAATCATAGGTAATGCAGTTATGTGACAAAAACATACTGGTGGAAAAAAGGGGTGAGTCCAGTGTTTACATTTTGTTTAAATTTTCTTTATATTTCTATCAATCATTTCTGTGTATATTAATTCAGTTAATTTTGTTAGCCATTGCCATCATGGCATATAATTTTGTATTTTTATTTCTAAAAAATTTTTTATGTTCCATGCTCATGCACAAAGAGCAATTTGAAAGTGTGTTCTATCTCTGAATTTAAAACATTCCATCCACCATATTACCTGAAAAAGACAGTTATATACAGCAAAACTGTAGCATAATTATAACTTTTTTCTGAATTATAAAAATAAAATTATTCATATTCTTTAATATTTCATGACTTGCTAGCATAAAAATAAGATAAATTAATTCTTTAATTTAACTGATTTCATACTACCTTTAATAAAATCATAATAGCTATACACACTGTCATAACTGTAGCTAATATCAAACAACATAACAATTTAATAGAAATATACATAACATAACAAAATCTAATATGTAATGAAAAAGTTTGTTAGTTTGTTCTTCATATATTTCAACATGGTTTGAGCAAATGTGATAAAACTTTTCAGGGAACATACTCTCATCCAGGAAGTGAAAGATTCTTTTGGTCAAATTAACTTCAAATTCCATCCATAATAGGCCCCCTTTTTATCTGACTAATAGATAACAGGCTAAATTACTTAATACAATTACTATCTAGCATAAAATACGTTTTTCAAGAGTGCCAAGTTTAAATACTTGGTCTTTTTTTTGTGAAATTTGATTGGCTGGCCAATTACCATTTCATATTAAATTATGAAAGGTACATTAGAGTCAACATCAGAAAAAATTTGAATGTCATGTATTATCTTGTAATAAATAAAATGTTAATTGTTTGCAATTTTTGTATTTGTCATAATCACAATATATAAATATGTACTGTACATATGTATGTGATAGCATGTTTGTTTATGTCTGTTCTCTATAAACTTCTAATATGCATTAAAAATTTCATACATATTCTCTAAGATTCTGTGAAAAATATACACTACCATGAAATCTCAACATCCCAACTCTTCTGATTTCATCCCCTAGACACTTTATAATAAATGTAACAATGGTAAGCTAAAATAACCAAACTTTTAATATGGTTTTTATTTTAATGTCTGTCCTTATTTTCAGCCCAAGCTGCACTAGGCATATCTACTATATAATATTTTTACCCAGCTTTCTTGGAGATTAGGATGGTCCAGATGTCTGGATTTTCTGGATTCTCAGGTTGTTCAGATTTTCAGTTTTACTATAATAGCTTGACAGTAATAACTATATTTTATTCTTTGATTATTAAAAAAAATCGTTGTCAATGCAGCTAAATATTATAAAACAAATACAATTTTAAGAATTAAACTTGTATATGTACTTACCCAATTGGACCATGGCATTTCAATTGTCTTAAATTTAACAAAGAAGGCGTTATTAAATCTTTACAGATATTGAAAGTCCACTTTTCTATCAACCGATAGTAACCATCCAAAAGAGATACAAAAGAATGCATTTGATCAACACTTTGAAATGTCAAGTACTGTAATATAAATAGTTTAATTAAGCCTTAGTTTTAATATCATTAAAAAAATCATCACTTTAATAATTTTTATAGCATTTAAATTATACTTACCTGAGGAATACCATTTCTCCTGCTAATTTCAACAGTTCCATCATTTCTCATGCTAATATAGCATAAATCTTCTATGGAACAAATTTGTATCCACGACTATTAAATTAGAATCAATATGATGATTTTCACGCCAAATATTGTATACTAAATCGAGAAGACACTGAGGACGGCATTACATGTACTTTTTTTTTTTATCGCAAGCAGTTTCGACAAACCTATAGTTGTCATCATCAGGTGAAAATCAGAAATTTACTGAGAAGTTAAATGGAAATAATCCAAATATAGAATAGAACGCTTAAAATTTAAGTTGAAGCTTTTGTGAAAGCCATTAAGAACACGAAGCAAATATTCAAATACGTTCGAAACTGAATGAGCAGTAAGCTCTGTGATGTTCGCAGCGGCACATGCGCGGATCCAGGCTCACACTATACGTATACTGGAGAATGCTAATAACTGCTTAATCGCTTATTCAGCGTGACCCATACAGTGGGCAGATCGAGGGTAAGAGTGTTGCATGCATCCAAGGTGGTAGTTAAGAGAGATTCGCATATGAAAACAATTTTTCAATCTTTACAGCTCCTGAGCATAATTGCTTGGGACCATAGAGGGTTGTAACCCTGGTCGAGTACCTTTTTTGTCAGCTCTGTGATGTGCCTATTCCTCACAACTTGGTGCTCTGCAAGGCAGCTGGCAAGCATTCTAGTAGTGGCCCCAATATATCTTGTGTTTACTCCCTTTGCAAGATTTTCCAGCAAAACAGCATAGACTCCCGACTTCTTGAGAGTGGAAAACTTGTCTCTATCATTGCAAATAAGCTTGCATAGGTTTGGAAGTGGGGTTAGAGGTAGGACAAGGTTGTGCTGCTTAAAAATTCTTCAGATGCATATTGAGAGAGGTCCAAGGTATGGTAATGATGTTTGGACCACAGAAAACGCCCTCTTACTGCATACCATAGTTCTCGGAAACAGTGATTTCTGTACCCTATTGAGCACATGAATAAACTTAGCGCATGAAAATCCAGCAGTATGTACTGCCAAACTGATAATGTCTAATTTCTTATTGCAATTTTTTTTTTATCTTGCAATAAAAAAAAGTACATGTAACGCCATCCTCAGTGTCTTCTCCATTTAGTAAATTAGAATATATATCTATTATATTTATTTATTAATTTTACTTCTTTAAAAGTAATTATAAACTTTGAATATCATACCTCTTTACTACCTTTCATCTGCATTTGCAAGCCAGCATTTTTCATTACATAAGGACAAACTCTCAAAAACACTTCATATACTTTACCATTTTCATCAATTTGTGCTTGATAGTGTTCACAAGTATAATCCGGTACAAGGGTTATTAAATGTTGTATATATTGTTGCTAAAATTATAGTAATTTGTAAATCTCAAATAATAAAGTGAAAAAAATATATTTATTGAAATTTTATTTATTTATTTTTTAAATTTACTGCAGCTATTTTTAATAATAGAAATTAATATAATCAATATTTTAAAAATAAGATTTTACAGTTAACATTCATGGAGCTATCAGATTACATTTATAATTTGGAGATGTTTCCATTAATGATCGACTCCATATTATAAAGTGAAGTTTATTAACATTAAAACAAGTATTCCATTAATACTCACTATAATAAATTCAAATTTAAATTATTTAAATAAATGTTTCATATTACAGTTTAAATAAAATTCCAGTATTCTATTGTTATTTAATCTGTCATTATTTCAAGAAATTTCAGTTTCATATAAATCTCAATAAATACTGTATTTCATTGATTGCATTAGTTTGTTACATCAAATAAAAATATATTATTAAACTTCTATAGTGTTAATAGAAACCAATTTAATTAAAATAAATTAGTCATTAATTACTTGTGGAATCATAACTACATACAGCGAATACAAAACTTAATTTACATAAAAACTGTAATGACATGGTGTTTGTTGTAAAGAAATAATAATTAAATCAATGATTATTTAGCAGCTATAAAATTAAAACGTTTTTTAAAAACGAGTTTTGAAATGAGAACATCAGACCAGTGTTTTGAAATATCAAAGTATTGTTTATATAAAAGAATAGTATTTCATGTGTTTACAACTGATAAATAGTTATTGATATAAATCATCAACAATGAGAATCTTTGATACTGTGCTATTATATGTGATATAAATCACAATTTTATAATATCAAAGATTCTCATATCAAATAAATCAAAATCATAAAATACAGTTTTTAAATAGTGTTGTCTATTTAAAAAATTATTATTAAAATAATCTTAGTATATGGTACATAGTTAGGGTTGTTAAGGGTTTAGCCCTTGAACCAGAGGGAAATCCTCAAATTCCCTAGATAGTCAGGCATGTGAGGAACCAACTGGAAGCTCAACCTAATGTCCATTCATCACCCCCATGGAACAACTTAGCAGTAAATAGCCAATTATCCTGACTATCAATGCAAACAAGAATGGGCTGCCATTATAGGGGTAACCCATTAAACATAACATAAAATACAGAAGTTAAAATATCTTCAATTTCCTTCCATCATGTCCAATTACTAAGAACTAAAACAGTCTTCTTTTGCAGAGATGACCTTTTATTAGAGGCTATGCCTCTGCAATATTATGTAAAATATTTTTTAAAAATGTTCACTGATGATAAGCAAAAATTGTAAAAATATATAATTTCAATTAAAAAAGTAGACAGTATTTATTCGTATTCTGTCAGCCTCTAATAAAAGGTCATCTCTGTAAAAGAACTGTTTTAGTTTCTGCTGATTGAACATGACAGAAGGAAATCAAAGACATTTTAGATTATTCTGTATTTTATATTATGTATAATCTTTTTAATAGACAAATTTATCAAATATTTCTCCCACACCAGGTCATATACAATAAACGTATGTATTCTACAACCACTAACCGGCATGAAAATTCCAAACTAATATTGGCAAACGCTTTCGATGCCCCTCCTGGGCTCTTCTTCAGGCCTGAAGAAGAGCCCAGGAGGGGCATCGAAAGCGTAAAATACATATATTTATTGCAGACAAATTTAGTCAAATAATAATTTTGTGCCTACATTTTGATAAAGAAAAGTTCCTAAAAGCATTTGTTCTTAACTATCTTTCAATTCACTAAATGTGAAATTTATACACTGGATACTAGATACTTATTACAGAAATTACCAAGAAACTGAAGGGAGAATGCCAAAATTAAAAAAAAAAAAAATCACGCCTTAAATTACTCCAGAAAATATTAAATGTTTGTTCAATGACTGTCATATATTCAACAACTGATGAAGGCCCATCAACTAATGTCAAAAATGTTTTTATGCATTAAATAATACTTGCTGGTGTAATTTAAGGTGTATACTTACTTTTACATAAGCCACATTTTGCCCACTATTTCTAAAAGCTTTTATAATAGCTTTATTAATACGTTCCTTCAACATGAAAAGATTCCATTTATCTAAATAAAAAAGAAACTTGATTCATTACAAAATAAATTTCTGTTTTAAAAGAATTTCATTTTTCCTTAAAGACTAAAATTTCAAGCATATTTAAACTTTTATTCATTCAAACTTTAAATAAGAAGAACAATTATTTATTGTCATGTCATCATAATACCGGGCTGAAATTTTTAATCATATTTTTAATAATTTTTTAATTTAAAATATATTCTCTCCACTTCAAATTAGTAATGCCTAGTCCCTGTACACCACACTTTTCCATTAGCAATAGAACCATACCAGTCATCTAACTAATGCCTTTCAGGGAAAAATTTTTGAATTGAAATAATGTGACTTCTGGTTTGCATTGGAAGTTCATATATTCTTGAATTTCATTTATCTAACACCATTCTCAAAATTGAGGAAAGACAAACAGAGGGAATTTATAGGTCTATAATTTTTTTCAAATTGCAGCCAAATAAAAATTATTTTTTCTGATTAATTTAAATATAATTCTCTTATTGTTAGTTCTAAACATAACTGTACAAAATAATCTAAATTACTGAAAATGCTGTAAAACTACAGAAAATCCTCATTAGTTTGAAACTCATGAGACAAAATATTCATGACTTCAAATTATTTGATATTTACATATATTCTATATAATATGCCAAATGCCATGTAACTGATGTAATTTATTAAGCAAACAGAATACAGCTAGTTATACAGAATGCTATTTTTATTAATTAATAATAATAATAATGTAAATAAACTGCAGGTAAACGGCATTATGTCCAGTGATAACTTCACAGGTCACCAGATAGGTTTTTATAAAAAGTAAAGCAGAATTCCTTGAAATGTAGCCCAAATTATTTTTAAAGTGGCCAAAAAGTAGTAAATCAGCTAAATATAATAGCCTAAAGCCCTACAAATATCTCAATCTGCTACTCATAGCCCAATCTTGAAATCCTGAAACCCAGCCATATTTTATGAAATAAGAGAAAAAAGGGTAGTCCATATGTAAAGTGACACCTGAAAATGCAGTCATATTGATCATATTACAGTTGTTCTTGGTCTATTCTCTTATACAGGTAGTATTGAGGCATTTCAACCTAAACAAATGAGTTATGTACAGTACACATATCACAATTCGGACAGAATTTTCAGTTCAAATTACAAAGTAGCTGTATTTTGAACTAACCAAATTCTTTATTGTGTAAATCTCTTTATTTCCAACTGGGACAGAAGTACAGTTATGAATTAACAAGATTTCAAACTATCCGAGTTTGATTTAATGAGGATTTCCTGTATTATCAAATGATGAACATCGAAAAAAATCTTAGTAAAAATAATTTAATAATCTTGATTTTTAATTATTCCATAATTTCTATTACTTTCTTTAATGAGGATTGATTTTAAAAAATCTCTTAAAATGAAAATATCTACAATTAATCTTAGGGACCATTCATTAATTACTTGTACAGTGATTAATGTATGATATAAAATGAGGAAGGAGGAATCAAGGCACTGTCTATGTATACTATAAATTACCATTGTCATCCATCATTAATCTCAAAAATGGAGTTAGATAGATGAAAGCCAAAACCAGATATGGAATGATTAAGGGCAGGAGGTCCCAATTAACTATATATGAACTTCCAGACTAAACTGAAAGGCATGTTATTTCTATTCAAAAATTTTCTCTAACAGGAGTTAGATAGATGACTGGAACGATTCTATTGCTAATGGAAAAAAAAAAAATGTATGATGTACGGAGGCAAGACACTACTATCTATAATTTGAGTTGGAGAGAATATATTTTAAATTAAAAATTGCAGCTGGTATTGTGATGATGTCACAATAAATAATTGCTCATTTGTGCAAATTATTGGCATTATTGGCAAATGAATTTGTTCTTATAAACCTAATTACTGGGCACATGAGTAAACTATAAGTTAGAAAATATTTTCAGAACTTTTTAAAGTTATTTCGTCAATCTCAAGAGCATCCATGAACTATTGTATATGTAATCAAAGGGAAAAGGGTGTGTCAAAAGTACATATTACACAACAAGGAAAAGAGTTAAAAGTGGCTTAAAAACTGTATATTTAATTACAAAACTGAATTTATGTAAAGTATTTTAAAAAATTGCATATACCATATTTCTTTAAATCCCAGAGGATTTATTTTAAAACATATGTCACCCCAGAGTTTACTATCTTGCAATAGAAGACAAGTGGATAAAAATTAAAGAAATATGTTAATTATTTGTACATTTTCCAAGCTATTAAAACCAATCATTAACTGTATTTATGGGTTACAGCTACAATATTTGAAATAATTACTGTTTCCATAGTTAATCCAATTCAACTTCTTCCAATTTGGTTATTACATTGTTAATCGCTTTAGTTTCCAGCAATTTTTGATATTAATGTAATTAAACATAAAAAATACTTAAAACTGAAAAAAACGAAAGAAATGCGTTAATTTTGAAGGAAAAGCTTCAAACTTTATTTTCCATTGTCTCGCCTTTCTGCGAAATTTGACACTGATGAGTCATTGTTTACACAGCTGGATGTGGATTTCCCGGGACATTCTCATAGACGTCTCGGGAGGACAAGGGTTTAAAGTAGGGTGAATACTAGCTGGCCGTATATTTTAAAATATTTTTAAAAAATTAAAATTTTTATTGCGATTTCCGACCCCCCGACTTAATTAAACGTATATATAATAAAATATATTAATTAAAAAAATTAAAAAACTATTGGAGGTCGTTTTTGATATCAGAAAGTAGCTTTAAATAACTTTACCGAAGTAAAATCCATGCACTACAACTTTAGAACAATGAATGAAATTTGATATCAAAATCCCATTAAAAAACAATTAAGCGTTAATCGCGCGTCATTAAAAGTAAATTAAAATCGTGATAAAATTTTTTCACGCGGGTAAAAATTTTTGAAAAAATTTGGAGACCTAAAAAACATCCAAAAATTGAAGGAAAAAGAAATTTTTTAGGGGCGAAAGGACCAAGTTTTATGTAACGCTATGTAACCTGCCCGAGTAAACTCGGGCAAGAAACTAAAGGGGTTTCACATCTGCTTCAATGTAATTGTAATCAAGACCTTGACTACCACCTTCTGATTCAAAATTGCCATCTTTCTCCGTATATTTAGGTGTTTACTCCTTCCGATCGAGCAAATTTATTGAGTGATGCATTCTTGTTAGCTAGAGCTGGTCACATGCCTTATGGTTTAGCATTAGATTTAACAGCATATTTAAAAGAAGAGAAACATCTTGTTCCATGGAGCATTGCTAAAAAGCAGTTGAATTACATAAGCAGATTATTACAGGAAAGCATAGAAGCGCACGAATTAATACAGGAATATATAAATATTTTAACAAACTTTTTTAGGAAAATTCTAATTGACTTATGAACTCTAACACAACTTTCCCAAGCTCAATATTCAACAATATTTATAATTTTATTTCAAAATAATGTTTCATGTACTGTACCCTGGATTAGTGCTGTCCAAATCTAGACAATTTGAAGAGGCAAAATTTTAGTTAAACACCTCACCTGTCACTCTAAATTACATTAGCCTACACAGTGCAGTACTTCAACATGTTTTCCACACTTTTCAAACCTAAGGTTTATTCTTAATGGCATTTTTATTTCTCAAGGTTTATTCAAAGATGGGGGTTTTAATTGAGAAAATAGAATACGTATATATTTTTTATTTTTATTAAAATACTGCTTCACAATTGTAATTATGATAAAAATTAAAATTCTTTATTTAGTCTATACATATTATTTCATAAATCCATTAACATCACTATTATTCTTTTGTAATTTAAAAAACTACTTAACTGAATAATTCTTAAATTATATATAACTCTTACAATAATAAGAACTGTTTCTCTATTTCAAAATTTACATTAAAAAGTTTTCCTCTTTAAATGTAATTTATAAATAAAACAAATTTAGCAAAATAAGATGAAATTGCAAAATATTTTTTGTTCAATATCAATACTTTTTTTAGATAAAAGTCAACAATGCAGAAAAAAAGAATGTTGTGCTGTCTTCACACTGAAGATTAAGCTAGGTAAGACTTTTCTAAAATTCTCTTTTATTATGTCCAATTAACTTGTCTGATAATTAGCCTTATCAATTGATCATTAGTTTAGTTTTCTATAAGAAAAAACATAATGCAAATCTTGGAAAACAATTTTATTTTTAATTATATCCTCATTTTTCAATTAGTTTTCCACTCTATATATTAATATATTTATATAAAAGCAATAAATAAAATACAGATTTAACTATTAAATGCAAATTATGTAACAAGAGATGACAATTATTAGGTACAATATCATCATCACATCAAAAAACAATCTCCTCCATTACATAAAATAGTTCGCTTTGTCAACATTAAATCATTTTATTTTAGTGGACTTAGAGAAAACCAAATATAGTATTGTCTTGCCAAATTTAATTGAGTTTAGAATATGTTTTTTCTAGCATCAAATTGAAAATGATGTTATTTGCCATAGTTTTTTTTTATAATTTAACATAGATATCCAGTAATAGCTTTTGTACAGACAGTAAACACATTCATATTTTCTTTATCCTTACTTTGAGGTAATGACATAGGAATACAAATAAGATGTAATTAAAAATACATAAATCAGTGTTTTGGAAAAGAATAATAAACTTGAAAGAATACATCATTAATAACACAGTTCAAAAATTCCACTCTTCATATAGCAGATGAGAAGCATCTTTTGGTCAATAAATAGAAAGGAGAATTGTTGTTAGATCCAGAAGTTTGACTTGCTTTGCATTAATTAATAAATGTAAGGTCACTTATAAATTTTATTTTATTTATTTATTTTTGTATATATTTATCATTATACCACATACAGTGGGTGATCGGTTAATGAACAGATCAGATAACGAACAAATCGGATAACGAACACTTTCGCAAAAGATTTTTATGTTCGGACAACGAACACATGATCG